TATTATGTGATTCCAATGTTATATTAGTATGTTTTTAATTCTATGTTTTAACTGTTCAGATGTCTGTTTATGTTCTATGTTTAATATTTTAATTGTTTAATTTATAGCTCTATGTTATTATGCTTTGGTTGTATATATGTTGGCATTGAATCTTGCCATTACTTGAGGTACACCACTTTGAATCCCCTAGAGGTGGGGAAAGTGGTATATAAATGCAGTAAAAAATAAATAAATGTTTTCAAACTGCTAGGGCTAACAACGGGAGCTCACCCCATCCCACGGATTCGAACCACCCACCACCAAGTTCTGCAGCTTAGCAGTTTAACCCACTGCACCACCACAGCCACTTATTATGTTGTTACTACATAAGGAGTAACAACTTACTACATAAGGAGGGGCTACTAAATTGGAAATGCTCATTCTTTGTGTGGAGAAGATGCCAGCCTTCATCTGAAGACAGAGCCCTGGATTCTTTGGCATTATGACAACTCCCATAATACCTTATTGTTGGCCAGGTTGGGTGTGGCAGAAAAAGGTTCCCCATTCCTGTATTTAAGGATCTCAAACAAAGGAGTGAGTTTAGGGAAAAGATGCAACCATGTTTTGAAAGTTTGGATTGGAATATCATCCTCATCTTATTTCAGTTGCTGCAAACTGAAAGGGCAGTAGTAGTTCAAACTGAATTAATTCAGCAGGGATGAGGGAGAGAGGAAGATTGTTTGTGTGTCCTTCTCATTAATAACTCTTGTCCTCTTGTTCCCCAGCTATGGTCCTTTTGACCACACTCTCATTTGCATTGGCCGAACATAACAATGTTCACCTCTGAAATGCTAGAGAGCTTGGGAGGTATGGCAGAAAGTTTTAATAGCTAATACAATACAGTTGGCCATCCACATTTGTGGATTAGACTTTTGTGGATTTGATTAAAATGTTCTCCCTAGGAATATCTAGGTCCTCTATTATGACTGTATGGCCAACTTCTGCTGCAGGTTAACCGGAGAGTAATTCTGGATAACCTAGGAATTCTTAGAGAGAACACGTTCTTGGAATGACCCAAATATTAGGTAGATCCTGAGAACCTGAAGCAGGATAAAGATAAAGGTAAAATCCCTCATACAAGGCAGGGACAGAGGAAAATAAACAATGGTAGGTCCTTCTGTACAATCTGGTGAAAGTTCTTACTCATGCCGGAGAAACTAGATATTCCAAGATAGGTGTTCTCTCAGATAAGAAAACAGCCCTCTTATTATTTGCAATTTTTCACTTTTACTGTGCTCCAACACCACCTAATTTGGAGGGCTGATTCTAGTATCTGTTCATTCATGTGCTGTTGTTCTGGACATATGGGTTGTTTTACAATGATTTGTTGTGTTTTTGAAGCATTTTGCTTTTGACTTCTAAATTAAAGCATAGATTTTAAAAGAAATAGTAGGGACGGATTTGTAGCAATCCCAAGAATCCACTAACAAGTATCTGCTATTCTTTTCCTCGATAAGGTTTCATCCTATGACTGCCCAGCCTTTGATGCAATGGATATTTCAGCTCTTGCCTTGAGTGTCAGCTTAATTAAGCTAATCAGCCAGACATTTTCAAAATGTCATCTAAAAGACTTTGGGGTTAAGCATTTCCTTTATGTGGTAAGTGACGTGGAAAGCCTTCTTCATTTCAACACAAAGCTGTCCATGTTATACTTTCCAGAGAGACAATGTCATCTACTTCACCTTTTGACAATGCTCTTTTCCCAAAAGTCTGGAACACTGTGTCAAGAAATGCTCTATAGGTGATATGGTGCATGCTGGACATCTGAGAGAGATATTGAAATGTTGCAGCTGATTCAAATGAACTACGAGTGCATCTACACTGTAGAATGAATTCAGCTTGACACAACTTAAATTGCCATGGTACAATGCTACAAAATACTGTGATGTTGGTCAGGCCCAAGAACACTCTCTGTGTGGAGAAGGCAAAATAAAGCAGCAAAAGGATAAGAGGAATTACAACTAGATAGTTCAAACTTTGGATAGAAAAGTGGTAAGGTGGAAGGACAAGTTTTAAGTTATAATTAAGGCCAGTTGTCCAGGGAATTTTCTAATCAAATGCACAACAGAACATCCATGTCTTTAGTTCTTTACGAAATGTGGATAGGGAGGGTGCTAGCCAAATCTCTCTAGGGAGGGAGTTCCAGAACCAGGGTGCCACAGCTGAGAAGGCCCTTTCTTTTGTCCCCACCAACCGTGCTTTAAACGAGGGTAGGAAGGAGAGAAGAGCCTCCCCAGAAGATCTTAGAGATCGTGTGGGCTCGTAGGGAAAGATGCGGTCACGAAGATAGGCAGGTCCCAATCCTATGATTCTATAGCATTGAGCCATGGCAGTGTCAAACTGTATCATTCCACAATGTAGAATGTAAATGACTAACAAGAATGAAGCCAAAACATTGTCTTGGTTCACATGTTTCCCTTGTTGTTCTGTTTTTGATCCCTTCTTTCTTCTCGATTATCACCCTCCTTCAGCAGTGACATTAGTATGTTTCCTGGACTAGAGATGTAGTGTGTATGTATTATTCTGGGATGACAATGGTAGAAAGAAACCATTGTTTCTTCTCACCCATTATTGTTAAGTTAGATGGGCAGCAAAAGCCCTGCAGGATCTCAGAAATATTTTTTTACAGTGAAAGAATTGAATGTTAAGGTTGCCGAGTCAACCCAAATTGCCAAATCAAAAGGTAAGCTCATTGAGGGGTTTGTTCTGAAAGATTTGAAAATGTTTATGGACCTTTTGAAGAATATGAAACCTAACAATGCAATAATATGTGGTTACAGTTACTACCAATTCTAGTAGGGTTATTTAGTTGAATCTGTAAAGGTGGAAAAATATTTTTTCTTTTTTTCATTAGAGTTTGGATGAGTGAGAGGTCAGAGCCCGTTGTGTTTCAGTCAACATTTACTGTTTCAGTATTGTCTTTTGGAGCTACTGTAAGCCCTCCATATCCACAGATTCTAAAATCAACAATGCAGGTTCAAAAATGATTTGAAATAAAACATTGATTGTTGCCATTTTATATAAGGGACAATACATTTTAGGAAGGGTTTCAGAGGCATTTATGATCAAGGCAAATGTGTCACAATCATAAATGTGAATAGGAAATAATTACAAGATTGTAAGTCTATATTACAACATCATAACATGCCAGCCAGATGCCAGTCAGGAAAAACTGCATAAAATTCTTGTTGGTCTATTATTCTTTCCCAAACAGTTATCTAAGTATGTATCCATGTATGTATCTATCTACTGGAAACCTTGTTTTGACCTGGGAATGAATATCCTCACAATCTTTCTTCTCATATACGAACATGAAACATACTTCTTTTCTTCTCCTCATCCAAATGCTCCCACTAAGGATGCTTATATTTGGGAAGCCATTTCTCCCCAAATTCTGTGAGTGCTTTCTGTACTAACAAGAGTCTCTGCCTTGGTATATGGGCTTTTAAAGATTAAAAATACTGAATTGGCCTTCTGTATCTTTTTTATCCAACAGGCATCCTTCTGTGCTTGGTGCGTGTGTGTCATGCTTTGTTTCTCAAAGTGGGCAGATGGTAGTTTTGCGCAGATTGTCTATACAAACTATGGAGAATGTTTTAAGCATGTCTTGTTCTCCTGATGGAGCCATGGTTCCTTAAAGTGACTTCTCTTTTTGTGCGAGAGCAAAACAGAAGGGACTTTAGCCTGCTAATTCTAGGACACATTATGGTCTTGAACCCATTTTGTCCAGGGCAATTCATCTGCACTCAAAAAAGTGATAATCCTTATGGAAATATATTATTATAATTTTAAAAGGAATAAAATATTTCAGTGTGTCAATTTAATAGGAAGCGGTGTGTAATTTTAAACATGGTAGCACTGAACCACCTTGGGTATTAGAAAAACCAACCATTCTAAAAATACTAAATTATGGCAATGATATAGAAATGATGGATATAGAGCATACAGTATGACTCCTATATTTGAGGAACAAATACCCACGGTTTCACCTACACATATCCAAAGAAATATGTCCTCTTTAGGAATTTACTTGGTCCTCCAAAACAAGTTTAAGATGACTTCCAACAGAAGTCATTCATTTCAACAGGGTTCACAATTGTCCATAGTGTATAGTTTCCACAGTAAGTTAGGAATGTATCCACCATGGATGGGGCGGGGGGTGATCTTACTGCATATGGTGATTCTGCCCACAAATCAGTGGGTCCTTAGTATCCACTGGGGTTTGGTTCAAGGACTTCCCATGGATACAAAAATCCATGGCTGTTCAAGAGCCATTATGGTACAGCATGGTAAAATTGTGTTTCTTATAAAAAATGAAAAAAACAAACCAATGTTTGCTTTTGGGAAAATATTTTCAAGCCATGGATTGTTGAATCCATGGATTTAAAATCAGTGGATACAGAGGATCAACTGCAACATTGATGACTATGAACAAATATCAGAGTGGTAAGAATCCCTTTGTAATTCAGAAATTATTAAATTAATTTATGAAAAATAAACTAGAACCAAAAAACAATATTGATTTCTTTAAAATTGACAATCACAACAATAACCACAAGAGATAAAGGGCTTACCTTCCATTCAGTGTTAGTTTAACAACCTTCATTGATTGCTAGTTTCTTAAAATGTGTGTAAGACATGAAATATAGAGAAAGAACATCAAAGCCAGTAATCTTTTTTATTCTCTCTAAAATGTGCAGAATGCTTCCAAAATATGCGGACTATTATGTTGTCTGGTGTCTTGTGTTGATTTCAGTGATATTTACAATTTCAGTATGTTTGCATATGGAATAGTAATTATTATAATAATGACATTCATGATACAGAGTCAAGGCAGCAGCAAAAGACAACAATAAATACTATAACCTGGAATACGGCATGGTTATATTAACTCTCATTTGGAGGACCCTCCTATGACATCAGGATATCACATTTGAATGAAGAAGATTTCATTCTCTTACCTTCAGTGTGTACAGCAGATACGTAAGTCCAGTTGTATCTCTTGACAATGTCCACCATAGCGCGAGCCTGTTGAGCATCCGAGGGTACCACTCTCATGAAATATTTGAACAAGGTCTTGTCACTTAAGTCCATGCTTGTAGCTGAGTAGGCAATCTGAGGTATGTTGAAAAGTTGCAACAGGTTTTGCACCTGGATTGCCACAGAACTGGACCCAGGTCCAATGACACCAACGATAGGCTTCTTGGAATGGAATGAAGATGATGATCCATCCACACACTTCATCAGTCCTTGCTCCTCTTCTGCTGAGATAAGAGAGTCCCGGATGAACTCAATACTTTGCTCAAGAGCAACCGCTGAATGCCAACACGAATCCCGGATCTCACAACCTAAAGTTATGTTTGGCAAGAGTGTTTGGTTTTGATTAATCCTATCTAGGGTATGTAGCATTGCCTCCACTCTCTGGATGCCATATTGCTCTCTCACCTCTCCACACTTCCTCTCATGGACTTTGTCAACGGACGGTTGATGGTGGACAGAGAACAAAGCTCCAATGATAATGTCACCCGGCATGTGGGCCACCACCCTTCTTTCATTGGACTGTGCAGAAACCAAAAGGCCAACGTTGCCACAGACATCTTCCTTCAATAACAAGATAACAAGCAGAAGGAGCATTTTAGGAAATGGTTTAAGCCAGTGCATGGACCATGATGGGATGACCAGGTGAGAGTGTTGTTAAAAAGTGATGAAGAAGTCTTTTGGAGGCAGCAAAGCAATCAAATGGAGGATCAAGTGGATGTTTCCAAACATTTTCTACATGATGTCTGCCATCTTCTGGTCTGTTCAGCTGAGGGGATGTAAGCATCGTCTTCACAACCTTTAAGGGAAAGATAATAGAAATGTGGGTTTAGTTTGGTTTACAAAAGACAATCTGTGTATTATCTAGGACAAGGTCAGACAACTGTGGGAGGCTTAGGGATGTTAGCTTCCCAAGGTGGCTGCATCCCTACACCCCACTGCTCAAAACCTTACAGATGTTCCCCAATGCCCCTCAGCCTCCTATGGGGGTGTAAGAACATTTTTAACAGATTTTAGGTCTCTTTGGGCCATTTCTGGACTAAGAGAGATACATTTCATCTTAGCCAAAAGGCTGAGAAGCGATGTTTCTTCAATGCATGTTCTACAGAGACATGGGCTTAAAATGATCCAGGAGAGCACAATGTGATGAACATGCACCTGAAACCACATATTTTGTGCCAATAGTTGTTTTGGGAAAATGACCTTTTTATACCAGGTGGGGCTCACAGAATCACAAAAAAATTCTGATGGGCTGCATACAGATCCCAGGCTCATTGCTGATTTAGGACATGGGTGCTTGTTGAATGTACTTCTGCTTTTTATTGAAGTGGCATATGCAATGCTGAGCTTCGGCATGCACAACACTGGAAACCAGCAGAAAAGAAAAAGGGAACAATCATCGATACTGACCACAGTCTGCCACCCAGGCACCAAAAATGTAAGGAATCCTTTGGATTCCCCTCAGATTTCAGGAGAAGAGGAAATAAATAATGTTCTGTGACAGGCATCAGCATTGTGTTGGATTTTACACTCCAGGATTCACAAAGCAGATCCATGCACAAAACTTACACATCTAGAATTCTTGTCCTACCCACTTATCCATAGATTTGATATCCATGGTTTCATTTATGAGTGCTCTGAAAAATACACACACACACACACACACAAACAACATCTGAAGTCAATAAGAAGCAACCCTTGCATGTCTTATCATGCCAAACACCTGAAGACCTTTGAGACTGACAAAAGAATGCCAATAAAACTGGTTAATTTTTTAGAAGGGGGTGCAAATATCCTAAAACCTGTGGCAGCATTAGAAGGTTCAAAAGTTAAATTAGTATAGCATTTTAGCCTATATAACTATACTGTTATAGCATCTGTAAACTGGGCTGTAAATATCCTAAAACCTGTTATCTGATTTCACCTGAGGCAACATTATTTATTTAAAGACATTACATCACTTTCTCACAAGCTAAAAGAACATTTTAAATATAAGCTAAAATAAACAATTATATAATATGTTGTAATGCATGCAATCCTTAAGGTCTAGCTAAAGTTGCCACAATGAAAACTGGATAGAGGACCTCTAACTTTAATGACTGTGTGGAAAAGGAAATGGCAGTAATTGTGATGTGTCAGTCTACCAGATAACAAGCAGCGCCTGCTGAAATTCCCTCTCTACACCATCATTAAAGATACAGGAGCCCTCTCCGGTTTTCCGACTTGCACCTCTAAGTGACCACTGATGAAATAGAAGAATTCAGCATAAATGAAAGAGGTGGAATCTCCCTTTCTCACAACAACAGGAGTGAATATAGTAAGCTGCATGTGGCCCCTGGACTCCAGTTTGTGAAGCCCCCAAGTCCCTCAAATATTCCCAACCTTCTCATTAAATAAACCAACACAGGGGAAAAAATCTTACACATAGAAAAATATACAAGAATACTAACATGTCACACCCACAAGTGCCCCAGTGTCAGCTCACAGCAGTTGCTCCCAAGGAATACACAGGACTGCGCTCTGGTATCAAAGAGAAACTTTACTGCTGGAAACATGGACATGCGAAAAGCCGAGATTGCTCAGCGCCAGTTGGTTTTGGTGCTTAATTTGTAAAATCATAACGTTGAATAGGCATTCCCTAAATCCCTCCTTATTATCCAACTTTATTTTCTTATCCAATATTCTGCCAGTTTGTGTTGGATAAGCAAGACTCTACTGTATCTCAGAATATCAAGGCAGAAAATCCCACAATATCTGCTTTGAACTGGGTTATCTGAGTCCACACTGAGTCCACACTGCCATATATTCCAGTTCAAAGCGGATATTGTGGGATTTTCTGCCTTGATATTCTGTCATATAGGACTGTGTGGAAGGGCCTAAAGTCAACTGGACAACACATAAAGCCATTGGAAGATATTAGCAAGCACACTATCGGATGAATTTTCAAGCACAGTAGCTCCTTAAGAAGGGACTGGCAAATTTCTAAGAAATATACGCAGGAGGTTTCACTTTCTACTTTTTAAAGGCAATTCTATTTTTATTTCTTAGATAATTAAAATGAAATCTGCAGTGATCACAAATGGGCCTATATTGCCATGTAATGGAGTTTGTACTGTATTATATGGTCTCTGTAGACCCATATATTGTTGTTTGAACTGCATTATATGGCAGTGTAGATCCAGACCAAGTATGTCAAATTTTGGAAGAATAGAGTTGGATAGGTTTTGCGCATCGTTTGTGGGTTTCCAAATGAAATGACTTACTTTCATAGGATTTTAATGTGCAATTGTTTTCTAAAATGTCATGATAGTTTGGGTTTGTCATAGAAACTTTATTTTTCATAGCCTTAGGCCATCCTGATTCTGAACATTAAACCAAAATACCTATCAAAAACAGACTATAAAATTAGAATTGTAGCCGCAATGTCATTTACATTTATCAAACAGCAGCCTTTCCTAAGAGCTAAACATATTAAAAATAGCATGCCCTCCAACATTTCACAGACAGAAACTGGGGCACATGTGTCCAAGTGACATCAAAATATGACCAAGTTGGTAAAAAATTATTAATGAGAAAGAACTTCCAGGCTATAAGTGGGTGTAGAGGTTTTCCTTTGCCTGACCCTATTGGAAAGATACGATGCTATTCCTACCTTTTTCCTCCCTGCTGTTGAATTGTACTCAAATTGCTTTTGTACATTGAAGTTAGTTTTTGGTCACTGAAATTAGTTGAGGACAGCTTGATGATGAAGAAGAAAAAGAAGATGGTGTGGTGGTGGTGAAGGACTAAGTTCTAGGGTGTCTAAACTTGACAAAAAGGTCACTGACTGTGGGGCTTTCACTATCATAAATAGAAATGAGGTGTTAGGGCATTCCATCCTTCTGTATTCAATGATACTGCTATGGGTCACCATTTCTGGAGTAGAAAACAAGGGAGATGAATATCTGTAAATGCTTGCTGGTGCTTCTGCTGATGATTCCTTGCCTAAGAAAACCCTATGGGGTTGCCATAAATCAACAGGTGGCTTGGAGGCATGTAGATATATCATTGTGTGGAATCAGATATTCACCTGAGGTGGCCCTAGGTAATTTTCAACGGTAAGCAAACAGTATTTTGTCCCCCCCCCCCAACCAATCACTGATATATATTTTCTGTTTGTCGTGGGAGTTCTGTGTGCCATATTTGGTTCAATTCCATCACTAGTGGAGTTCAGAATGCTGTTTGATTGTAGGTGAACTATACATCCCAGTAACTACAACTTGCATATGTCAAGGTCTGTTTTCCCCCAAGAGCGCCTCAAGAGCGTCCCTGGGCAAAATCAACTTACTGCGAATGCTTACTTTGCGTATGGGTTGAGCCGCCCCTGTGCCCTGTACAAGTTTGTATCATCATCATCACCCTTGTGCCAACAGGACTGAAGACCAACATGTCAGAGGTTCAATTCTGGGGAGAGTGCAGATGAGCTCCCTCTGTCAACTCCAGCTTCCCATGTGGGGACATGAGAGAAGCCTCCCACAAGAATGGTAAAACATCAAAACATCTGGGTGTCCCTTGCAGACGGCCAATTTTCTCACACCGGAAGCAACTTGCAGTTTCTCAAGTTGCTCCTGACACACACACACACACACACACACACACATACACAATCATCACAACTACTCCCCACAACATGATAGTTGTTTTTTGTTTTTTGCATTCAGATTTATTTTAAATGTCAAGGGTTAGTTTTTAAAGAAATCTGTAAAAGTTGGTAATTTATTTACACTCAAACTGAGACAAAGCTGATGCGCTCCCTCTCTCATATACTGGCCAGAGTCAAATTTTATAGTCATTTCTATCAAAGACAAGACCTAACTCCATCCCACAAGAAATCAGGAAGCCAACACTATCCTACAATGTTCGCTTTTCTATGCAGTTCATCCCCAAATAGTGACAGTAAGTGAAATGGCATCACTTTCTGATGCCACTGTGAGAGAGATTGCAGAGGAAAATTCCACCCATCTGACTCCCCCCTGCTTTCAACGTTTGCTGGAATCATTGCATTCACCATAAAATAAACCACGCAGTCAAGACACTGAAAGTCCATCTTATGGTGATACCTTGGTTAGGCTAACCCAAAAACTCAATGTAGATCATGTTGGTGTTTGAAGCAAAAACTATTTGCTTTGAGAAGTGATGGTGTTGGCATCACAGCATCTCCATTTTTTGCTTGGGGATGTTATGAAGACATTTCAGTATAGATGGAGAATTATACTACCCTCCCATGTCTGCAGGTTGACCGAGAACAAAGACAGTAAAACAGCCAATATGTTCTGCTGCCTCGTTTGAAGTTACTAAGTATAACTTCTCTTTGAGAACTGTGTTTGCCTCTCTACCCCCTTCAAAGGCTTTGGCTATTTTGTTACACGAATTCTGTCCGTTTCTTGGGGAAGTCTTTGTTCTGTCAGATTTATCTTCTTTGCCTGTTGAAGAAGCCGGGGAGCTCCAAATCTATCATGACTATACAGCCACAGCTGATACAACTGTAAAAAGAAAGAAAACATCAGAGAGTGTATCTATGCTGTAGAATAAATGCAGTTTGACATCACTTCGCCTGCCTTGGTACAATGCTATGAAATCATGGGAACCGCCATTTTGCAAAGTTTTTGGCATTCCTTGCCAAAATGTGCTAGAGTCTCTCAAACAACAACTCCCATGATTCCATAGCTTTGAGCCATGGCAGTGAAAGTGTCAAACTACATTGATTTTACAGTGTGGATGCGCCTTAAAGCCAAACTACATAGCTCAATAACTTAGTTA